ATCCCTGTCAGAAGCCCAGCTTGCTTCTCTGTAGAAATTGCCAAGATAATTCTAAAATTCATATGCAATTTTAAGGGACCAAGAACAGACAATGTGATTCTGAAAAGTAAAGTTGAAGGCCTCACATGTTCTTACCATTAGTTTACCATAAATCAATAGTAATCATGACAGACTGGTACTGTCCTGAAATGGTTAACCAATTTTTGGTAAAGGTTCCAGGACCATTTGGCGAGGAACCAGTCATTTTAATAACTAGTGCTATGATAACTGGATAGCCACATGGAAGGAATATGGTTAGACCCTCACCTCACTCTATCAAAACTGAAAACTTTTGTGTTCCAAAGGATATTATTAAGAAAGTAAGTCTGGGAGCTAGAGAGATGGCTCAGTGGTTAAGAGCACTGGATACTTTTTCAGAAGATGCAGGTCTGGTTCCCAGCACCCACATGGTGGCTAACAACCACCTGTAACTCCAGTTCCAGGGGATCCAACACCATCTTCTGACCTCTGCAGGCATTGCACAACACAAGTACACTTACATACTCACAGGCAATACATTCATACACAGAAAATAAAAGTAAATAAAAAAAATGAAAAGTTTATGTTGACCTTATCTCTGCTTCTCATGTTCTTCTGGAGTAACTTTAGGTTTTCCATATTTTAATACTGAGACATGATATTGCACTTCTAATACCATCAGCCTTCCATATAGTCATCCCTCAGTGTCTGGGGGGAACATCTCACAGATGCCAAAATCTATGGATGCCAAGTGCTTTACATAAAACAGGAAGGAAGATACATGGAACTATTCATATGGGTTTCTGTCTTAGTTAGCTTTCTATTGTTATGATAAATACAATGTAGGGAGGAAAAGGTATTTGGCTTATACGTCTGGACCACAGTTTATCATTGAGGTAAGCACTCTCATGTCACTCAACAATCAAGAAAATGCCTCACATACATGCCCACAGGACAATCCAATAGAGGAGGCTCCCCCAATTGGGGTTCCCTCTTCCCAGGTGTGTCACGTTGACAGGTGAAGCTGAGCACAATTTGTATACATGGGTTCTGTACTTTATATCATCACTGGATTACTTATAAAATCAAAACAAGGGAAGTGCTAAGTCAGTAACTCCTATACCGAAATATTTATAGGGAATAATGGCAAGGAAAGAAGCCCACACATGGTCAATACAGATATAAATTTCCTTCTCAAATATTTTAAATCCAGAGTTAGTTAAATCCAGTTGTATAGAATTTATGGGTAGGGAGGGCCAAATGTATTTATTTGTAACACTGTCTGTATATATTTGTCTACAAGTAAGAATTATTCTTCAAATCAACATATATGTCCACACAAAGCAGTACTGAAATGGTAAGTTTAAAAACAAAACAAAGCCGGGCATGGTGGCACACGCCTTTAATCCCAGCACTCGGGAGGCAGAGGCAGGTGGATCTCTGTGAGTTCAAGGCTAGCCTGGTCTACATAGTGAGTTCCAGGACAGTTGGGGCTACAGGGAGACCCTGTCTCAAAAAGATCAAACAAAACAAAACAAAACAAAAAAGTGCCTATTTTCATCAAAATGAAGCAGAAATACAGAGACTCTGGCACTCACACACACATACTGATACATATTTCTTTACCTGAAATATCTATCGCTAAGGATTTTTCCTTCTCTGGACAGACTCCCTGATGAATGGTCCTCTTAACACGGGTTTCCGCTGTCTGCTTAATGAACTTTGTGTCTGGCAGTCTTTCAGTTTTTCTGTCTTGTACAGCAGCATCACAGGAATCTTTAAAAGAATAAAATGACCAAATTAACACAGACAGGAAGTTGACAAAAAATGCCTTGAAGCATCTACTATGTGAAATGCATTGTTCCTGGAATTGAAAAATATAATTATCAGTCAAGATGTTTGGAAAAACATCTGAACAGGTGAAAAAGAAGATATACATGTAGAAGAAGTCAAATAGGGCTAAAGAATCAAACTGTGAGAGACAGACAGAGGTGGAAGTGCTCAAAGGAGAAAAAGTGATTCCGGCAAGAAGCATCCCAGGGGGCTGGAGAAAAGGCGCAACAGTTTAAGAGCACTGGCTGCTCTTGCAGATGACCTGAATTTGATTCCTAGCATCCAAATAGTAACTTCCATAACTCCAGTTCCAGGAGTTATGATGTCCTCTTTTGGCCTCTGTGGGCATTGCATGCATGGGTACACTTACATATATGAAGGCAAAACAATCATATACAAAATATAAAAGAATTCTGACCGCTGACTTGCTAGGTCTTTAACAATGGGACACACTTTGTGGTGGAAAGAGGAACTCACTTTAAGCAAGGGTGACTGCAAAACAAGAGTGCAGTCAGGAAAGCCACTGAGCATCTCCAATCATGTGTGTATGGTTCATCTGACCACAGAGTCTACAAGGAAAAGAAGTGAGAACTGGAGCTGGCAAGGTCAGGGAGCTAGCTGCTAGGTCTAGCATTTGGGATGACAGCTAAAGAGCTTAGATTTTAATCCTAAACACAATGAAATATACTAAATCTTATTAGGAGACTAACATAATTAAAACCATTTCAGGAACATTTACTTAGCAACAGTTTAAAAAAAGGATAAAATTTTGGAGTGTTTCCTAAAATACAATCTAAAGTCTTTCTTTTCCCTCTGAAATAGTTGAGCATATGCTACCAGAATAGAGGCTATCAGCATCCTTGTCAGTTCGATAGGTGTGACCACACCACTAAGTCTGGCTGGTGGCATGAAAGGTAGTGTAACTTCTAGAGGGAAGAATAGGCTTTTTCTTTCCCTTTCCTCATGCAAATGTTGGGATGCTGGTTGATGGCTACAGCTTAAGAATGAAGGTCAGAAATGTCAATGGAAGTCTTTTGTTCCCTGATACTCTGGGTGTCTACCTCTAGATTTCTATAAAAAAAGAAATGCTGGGGCTAGAGAGATGGCTCAGTGGTTAAGAAGACTGGCTGTTCTTGCAGAAGACCCAGGTTCGAATCCCAGCACCCACATGGCAGCTAACAACTGTCCTTAACTCCAGTCCCAGGGGATCCAACAGCCTCTTCTGTCCTCCACGGGCATTGCACGACACGGGTGCACTTACCTACATGCAGACAATTCATGCATATACGTAAAATAAAATAATAAATAAAATATTAAAAAAAAAGAAATGCTCTCCTGTCTTCTTTAAACCCATGTTACATTTTAATCTGTCCGAGTCAAAGCTAATACTAAATTAAACATGCTACTACAGGCATTTTTTAAACAGCATAATTCTGTTGAAGTAAAATAACTGGATTAGTTCCAAAGTAATTAAGTCGCATTTCTAAATAACAAAGGTTTTGGTACAATTGTTGTGCCCAGTGAATGGATCCCCAAGAATTACCACGGAGTCCAGACAGCATGCAAGAACAAAGAGTCTTTATTCGGGCTTAAGCTCGGGCTCCCAGAATAATCAGCAAGGAAGAATTATGGCATTTGCCCACCAAGCTGAACTGAGAGCCCAGATTGCAGGGGGAAGAAGCTTTTTAGAGGTTTTAGACAAAGGGAGGAGCGGACTAACAGAGTCACATCTTGATTGGTCCAAGGAGCCCGAGCGTACCAACACACTTTTGAATTGATTGATTACAAGGGATGTAGTCCTGGAGGTTTCTCATTGGTGGGTGCTGTTATCTGTGGGGCCAGAAGTCTCTGTTCCTACCTTATAAGGCTGCTATTTGCCTGGGCTTGCTTGACCTATAGCCTCCTGGGGTGGGGGTGGCAGGTGGAGATTACAACATGCCTGGGCATGTCCAGGCTTGCCTGAAACAGCTAGTCAGAATGGGGTCAATACAGTTTGTCCTCTCAGCCAAGCAGTCAAGCAGTTTACAGAAGCGAAAAAGAGCAGTTAGTTCTAAAGAGGGGCAGGGGTCTCAGGAGTCCAGGGTAGGGGGCCAAGGAGGAGGGTTTCACACAGTCATGGTTTGTGACTCCACAGCTTTAAAAAATAATAATATAATCTATGTCAGAAACTGCACTTTAATTTAGATTTTAACATGGATAGGCTAGTTCAATACATTGAACAGGCACAACTGCTATTTATTTTTAAAATCTTTAAAAATTCAGTGTCCCAGAAATGCGGCCTTGAGCTACTTTGCTGGACTTGGGTTTTGACGTTGGGGAACCTGCCCCCCAAAATTGTCAAATTTTAAAAAGCTATAAAATTTCAATAAAACAGCTCTTGCAGGTATAACCTAAAAGTGGAAAGAACCTTGTAATGACCTGAAACCTAGATGCAAGAAGGGACAGAGGAGGGACATGGGGGGGGGGCAGGAATTTGTTGACTGCATTCAAAATGAATCATATGGAAACATTTAAACTATGTAAATCAAAATACCAGAATGGGGAGGGGGTGAATGTAATAGCTCTATCAGATAGAAATGTTTTATTAAATGATAAGAAAAAGACAAAAATAGGGACATAAGGAAAGAAATACATTCTAGGTAATCGTAGAGGAGTAAAATATAATTGTCAAGGATTATGGTTAAAAAAAGTTTCAACTTTCTAAGTCTTATACACATTTCATCTGTAGAGTATTTTGTGATACTGAAATAAAATATCAGGAAAAGGAAAAAGACATTAAGTCAATTTCTGACAATGAGATTACTTTGTATATTCGTAAATTACAGATCATGTGGGTACTGGGAACCAAGCCCACGTCCCTCTGCAGTGCTGTTAACCACTGCCATCTCTTTAGCCCCTTGAAGAGTTGGTTTTTTTTAATGTCAACTTTCTGCTGGAGTGGTAGCACACACCTTTAATCCCAGCAGAGGATGTCAATGAGTTCAAAGCCAGCTTGGTCTACATAGCAAATTCCAGACTCTAGGGAAGCCCTGTCTCAAACAAACAACTTTCTCCCTGCCAAAGTATAACAAAACTGTAGCTTTAAACACCTTACCTACTTCATACATGAGCAAGATGGTGGGTTAGAGAGAGCAGGAAGACACTAGAGAACATTGGTGTTTGTATTCTTTTTTATTTTTTTTAAATATTATTTTTATTTTATGTGCATGTGTGTATTGTCTGCATGTACGTAAGGGCACCTGTGTCGTGCAATGCCTGCAGAGGACATTAGAGACTGTTGGATCCCCTGGAACTAGAGTTACAGATGGTTGCTACCTGCCATGTGGTTGCTGGGATTCGAACCCAGGTCCTCTGCAAGAGCAGCCAGTGTGCTTAACCATTGAGCCATCTCTCCAGCCCCTGCTGCTTATATTCCTAACAGAAAAGTCTTTTAAGAGACCAGGGAAATAGTGCCCAGACAATCTGAACAAACCTGTAGTGTCCTGCAAAGATTCTTTTTCTTCAGGTCTTGCAGTCTTCGTCAAGAAAATTCCACTGATGATCTCTTTCTGAACATCCCCAGTGATGGGTGCTTGAACTGGGGCCTCTGGATAAGGACATCATTGATGCCAGAGAGGAAGAGCAAATAATTAGCAAAAGGTATGCACTTGTCTGAATCCCCTAACACGCAAAGCCCTCCAGGTCCTTTATAAACAAGGAAAAAAAGCACCCTTTAGACTCTATTTTGGAACACTGTAATTGGAATTTAAAAGTTTGCCATATTTTTCTAAACACATCATCAGTTTAAACAAAGTAACATTTTAAAATTTGCTCTTTGGTAGTTTGATGCAACAGCAAAAATAAAGATCAAATTGTTTTTCAAAGTAAAAATGTATATTTAAGAAACATTTTTGAGCTCTTTGGTGTTTCCAGTTTTTACTATTTGTTGGATTAATTTTGGTATTTCATATAGTCCAAGAAAAAAAATCATCTAGATATGACATATAACATTCTCATATTTTAAAAAATCTCATGCATCTAGAACTGTTAAATTTGCCTAATACATTATGTTCTCTTTTTGCTCATACTTCATTTCTTTTTAAAAAATATTTGTTTATTTTTTATGTATATGAGTGTATTGCCTGCTTGTATGTAAGTATATACATGTTGTGCAATGCCTGCAGAGGTGAGAAGAGGGCATCAGATCCCTTGGAACTGGAGTTACATTTGTTAGTCACCATGTGGGTGCTGGAAATCGAATCCAGGTCCTCTGAGAGAGCAGCCAGTGCTCTTAACCACTGAGCCATGTCTCCAGCCCGGTCATACTTCATTTCTTATCTCTATGTATGTATATCTTTCAACAAAGAAATCAGAAATGTAACAGGCTGTGAAACATACAACACAGACTCAACTTTGGCTTTATTTACCAAGGAATTTCCTTTGCTTTAAATATATTATTTTTTATTTCTGTCACTTCAATTCTAATTGCTTGACCTAACTCTTTAAAATTTTTAATATTTCAGACATACCAGGAGCATAACAAGGGATTTACAATGAGGCTTAAGAAATAATCAGACAGTCTGGCATTGTGGCACACACTTTTAATCCTAGCACTCAGGAGGCAGAGGCAGGCGGATCTCTGTGAGTTCCAGGCCAGCTCAGGCTACAGGGAGACCCTGTCTCAAAAACAAAAACAATAACATTTACAGACATGGTTCCTTGTGTTAAGTCTCAAGGATGGATGCCATTCCCTTCTCAGTAGCAGCCTTTATATTATATCTCAGAGTGTCTCTCCATCTCAAGGATGCTTTTCAATTCTTTACCACATTGAATTAGTGCTAATCACTATTCATTTAAATAATTACTAGTAAGGTACAATCTTATCCTAAATCACTTTTATCTTAAATCTCTTTTTTTTTTTAAATGGGAGAAAATATTTGAAAAATATTTATTTCATAAGATTG